TTTAAGCTGAGTTTTTATCTTCTGTGCTTTTGTTATTATTAATTGTGTTGTTTGTTGTAGGGATCTGCTGTCTCGTGATAACCTTTTTGAAATCATCACCAGTACCAGAACCTTCTACATCCAGGTAACTCTGGACTAAATTCTTTTATAATAATCCAGGTGTCAGTGATAAAGGTAACACATTTAAAAATAAATCATGTTGGTGTATGTGGACCACATATTGTGCACATGGTTCATCTCATTGACTAACATCCAAATCTGCAGCTGTGTGCCAATGTATTTAAAGATCAACTGTTTTTTTAATCGTCCTTGCTCTGTCACTCAAGCGAAACATAAATAACTCATTATAAATGCTTTTCAAGTATGTGACAGGTGTTTATGTGGCTACTGTACTGTTGAGGCATGTTGTAAATGCAAATGAGGCTTACGGAGATCTTTAATGCTTTATTTCATGTAGCACAAACAAACAACGTGAAGATAAAAATGTCAACTTAACCTGCTTGTGTGTGTGTGTGTGTGTGTGTGTGTGTGTGTGTGTGTAGGCAGACACCCCAGAAGACATGAAGGGCTGGATCAAGGATATTGCTTCAAAAATTCAAGACTTTCGAGGGCCGTCTAAGGTAAATATTCTAAATATTAGATTCCAGTCATCATTGACATCATTGATAGTTAGCTGTCAAAAGATAAATCAGCAAATTAAGTCAATGTGGATAAAAAAGTCTTCCAATTTATATATATATATATATATATTGTCCTCATTTGTAAGTCGCTTTGGATAAAAGCGTCTGCTAAATGACTAAATGTAAATATATATATGTATATATTTAAAACATGCATAGTTGCATGTTTACATTTGTTGTTAATTTTAAATTGTTCACACATAGGCAGTTTTTCATTTCACTTGACTTTATGAATATAATAACGAGCAATTATAATAATTAAATCAAATATAAATACTACATTTTTATCACAATGCAACACAAAATGCATTAACATCACATAAACTTCTACAAAATTAATAGCAATTGTAACTTCTTTTTATAAATGTGTTTTTTGTTCTCTCCAAAAAAAAAAGTACCTTAGGACATTTCTAAAAAAACAAACAAAAACAAAACAATAAATGAGCATTTCTGACAGTTATCTTCTCTTGATTGACAGTTGCGCTCTTCCAGCAAAGTCTTTTCTGGGCAGAGGAAGCCTCAGCTTGTGAAGTCCTGCTCCACTGCAGATTCGTGGCAGCCATGGACCCCGGTGCCCAATCAGGAGGGTCAAAGAGAAGGGCCGTACAGCTCTCTCCCCTCACTCTCACACACAGGCCATGCCTTTCAGTCAACGACTCGACAAACTCGACAACGGCACCATTCCCAGCCTCAACTCGCTCCCAGCGAAACAGACTTTCCTGACAGTCTTGATCATGTCCGCACCACTGATGTTTAGTTGCTTTAATGGATACTGCTGGCCAGCACATGGATAGTGTTATGATTTTAGCCCTTTGATTGTTGCTTTTCTTGTTCAGTGGTGCGCACACAAGTGCTTCAGTCATTGCAATGCTGCTCACTTACTCTGAAAGAATAGTTCCCAAATTAGTTCCCAAATAGTACCCAAAAATTCTGTCATTATTTACTTACCCCCATGTCAAGCTCCAACAAGCAATGTATGGCAAGAATTGTGTACCAATTCTTCAACCAATTGTACTTTAGTGTTCTACAGAAAAAAGAAAAAAATAATTGGTTTGGAACAATATGTAGAATAGAATTGTCATTTTGGGTGAACTATTCCTTTAAAAGAATGTGTCTTTTTATGTATGAAGGATTGTAAAATGAGGAAGGATCATCTGGTGAAAAGACATTTTATGTGTTGTATTTCTTCAGTGAATTTCCCGAGACATACAGTGGGGTCTGAAAGTGTGAGACAACTTGTAAAATGCTTTTATTTTGTATTATGTAATATATGTGTATAATGATATTTTCAGCACAAAAATTGAAAAGTTGGAAAGAAAAAAAAAACATTTTTTAGTATTTGGTAGATCTATCTTTTGCTTTAATGACAGCAGCACTTGAGCCGACATGAACTGATGAACATGTGATCCAGGATGATTTAAGAATGTTCCAAAGAACATCTTGTGCACTGCAGTGGACACATTTGCTTTTTGATTATTTCTCTTTGTTTTAAATATGAAATATTTACATTTCCAGATTCAAAACCTTGATTTTCAATGTGGTCTCAAACTTTTGGACCCACTTGTACAGTTGAAAGTATTGTTGGTTTGTGTGGTAGACTTAGCCTAAGTCAAGGCATCTGGACTTACTTTGAAGACATTTAGTCAACATCACTAATGAAGCCGCTTGAAGGATTAGGAAAACTTTGACTAGACGTTCAATGATGATCTTCGTGACTGAAAACATTTTAATATTGATTACTTTGAAATGCCTGAAAATGTTCATAGAATTCTTTCTTTTGTTGTTGTGAATGGTACTATATGTTGACAAGTAGGTACTTTTTCTGTTGCTCAAACTACTTGTTTTTTTTTATACGCGTCATTGCTAGATATGCATCATCGCTTTGCACATGAAATAAACCAGTCCTTGAAGGAAAAAAAACGACAGGCTTTGTTAAGTCTTTGCTCCTCCAGTCCAAACAGCGTCGCGATCTAACCCGAAATTTCTGACTTGCGCAAGATAAAGCCGAGCGATCTCAAAATGGGCGGAGTTTGGCGGCCCAAACGTTTTCAGACACGATGGGTCGATATTTAGGTATTAAGATCTGTAAGTACCAAAAGGAGAGAAATCATTTAGGGGTCATATGATGCTGATAAAAAGAACAGTATTTGGTGTAATGAAATGTGTTTGGTTTAAGGTTCAAAAAACACATTATTTTCCAAGTAGGAGACGTTCCACAATCTGTTATAAAAGAGGTGGATACTATTTTGTTCAATTTCATCTGGAAGAACAGACCACATTATTTAAAAAGAACAGTTATAGGCCTATGCAACCCAGTTGAAGATGGTGGTCTAAATGTACTTGACTTTAATATTGCTAATTGTGTATTTAAGAACAAATGGATAAAGAACTACTTGATCTCTAAAGACAAGATTTGGAATATCATCCCTAAATTAATTTTTGATAAATTGGGGGGTTTCAATTTTTTTTTGGAGGTGTACAAGGTTCCGATAAAGCTTTCCTCTTTTCATAAACAGGGTTTTTTTTTTTATTATGGATGCTCATTTTTAAGCATAACTTTTCTCCACACAACTCTGTGATTTGGAACAACAAATATATTAAGTTTAAAAATAAATCTTTATTTTACAGAAATTGGTACAACAATGGTATAATTTTGGTGAGGCAGTTATTTAAGAGTAATGGACAGCTCTTTAATTACTGTGAATTCCTGAATCATTATAAGATCCCTGTAACTGCTAAGGAGTTTGCAGTAGTATTTGATGCCATTCCTAGTGGCCTTATTCAACTTTTATCAGGCAATATATCTTCTGAGCCTATTCCCTTATATATTGATCAGTTAAGTATTAATGGTGTGAAAATTATAGAT